TCTCTCACCAATGGACAGGTCAATCAGACAGAAACCTAACAGAGAAATAAGAGAATTAATGGAGGTAATGAATCAAATGGACTTAACAGACATCTTTAGAACATTCCACCCAAATAGGAAAGAATATACCTTCTTCTCTGCAGCTCATGGAACCTTCTCGAAAATTGACCACATAGTCGGTAACAAAGCAAACATCCACAGTTACAAAAAAAAAAATTATTAACCACCTGTGTCTTATCAGATCACCATGGATTAAAGTTAGAATTTAACAACAATGCTACCCCCAGAAAGCCTACAAATTCATGGAAACTGAACAGTCAACTACTGAACCATACCTGGATTAAGAAAGAAATAAAGAAAGAAGCTAAAGTCTTCCTGGAATTCAATGAAAATAAAGAAACAACATACTCAAACTTATGGGACACTATGAAAGCAGTCCTAAGGGGAAAGTTCATAGCACTAAGTGCCCACTTAAAGAAAACAGAGAAAACACACATTGGAGACTTGACAGCCCACCTGAAAGCTCTAGAAAAAAAAGGAAGCAGCCTCCCTAGGAGGAGTAGAAGACTGGAAATAACCAAACTGAGGGCTGAAATCAACAAAATAGAAACACAGAAAACAATACAAAGAATCAATGAAACAAAAAGCTGGTTCCTGGAGAAAATCAACAAGATTGACAAACCCCTATCCAAACTAATCAAACGGCAGAGAGAGAATTTGCAAATTAATAAGATCAGAAATGAAAAGGAGGACATAACCACAGACACAGAGGAAATTCAGAGAATCATTAAATCTTACTACAAAAGCCTGTATGCCACAAAACTGGAAAATGTAAAGGAAATGGACACTTTTTTAGATAAAGACCATATACCAAAGTTAAACCAGGACCAGGTGAACAATCTAAATAGACCTGTTAGTCGCGAAGAATTAGAAGCGGTTATCAAAAACCTCCCTAGCAAAAAAAGCCCAGGACCAGATGGTTTCAATGTGGAATTCTACCAGAACTTCCAAGAAAACCTAATACCTATACTCCTTAATGTATTTCACAATATAGAAACAGAAGAGGCATTGCCAAATTCCTTTTATGAAGCTACAGTTACTCTTATACCAAAACCGCACAAAGACTCAACCAAGAAAGAGAATTATAGGCCAATCTCACTCATGAACATCGACACACAAATCCTCAACAAAATACTGGCAAACCGAATCCAGGAACACATTAGAAAAATTATCCATTATGATCAAGTAGGCTTCATCCCAGAGATGCAGGGCTGGTTCAACATACGAAAATCTATCAATGTAATCCATCATATAAATAAACTGAAAGAAAAAAACCAATATGATCATTTCATTAGATGCTGAAAAAGCATTTGACAAAATTCAACATCCCTTAATGATAAAAGTATTGGAGAGATTAGGGATACAAGGGTCATACCTAAATATAATAAAAGCTATATACAGCAAGCCGACAGCTAACATCAAATTAAATGGAGAGAAACTCAAAGCCATCCCACTAAACTCAGGAACACGACAAGGCTGTCCACTCTCGCGATACCTCTTCAATATAGTGCTTGAAGTTCTAGCAATAGCAATAAGACAACATAATGGGATCAAGGGGATTCGAATTGGAAAGGAAGAAGTGAAACTTTCATTATTTGCAGATGATGATATGATAGTGTACATAAGTGGCCCCCAAAACTCCATCAAAGAACTTTTACAGCTGATAAACACCTTTAGTAATGCGGCAGGATACAAGATCAACTCCAAAATATCAGTCGCTCTCTTATACACAAAGGATATGGAAGCAGAGAGGGAAATCAGAGAAGCTTCACCTTTCAGCATAGCCACAAACAGTATAAAATATCTTGGGGTAACTCTAACCAAGGAAGTGAAAGATCTATTTGACAAGAACATTAAGGCATTGAAGAAAGAAATTGAGGAGGATACCAGAAAATAGAAGGACCTCCCTTGCTCTTGGATTGGGAGGACCAACATAATAAAAATGGCAATTCTGCCAAAGGCAATTTATAGATTCAATGCAATCCCCATCAAGGTCCCATCAAAATTCTTCACAGATCTTGAGAGGACAATAATCAACTTTATATGGAAAAACAAAAAACTCAGGATAGCCAAAACAATCCTATAAAATAAAGGATCTTCTGGAGGCATGACCATCCCTGACTTCAAACTCTATTACAGAGCTATAGTGATGAAAACAGTGTGGTACTGGCATAAAAACAGAGAAGTCGACCAAAGGAATCGATAGAAGACCCGAATTTTAACTCACAAACCTATGATCACCTCATTTTCGATAAAGGAGCTAAAAGTATACAATGGAAGAAAGAAAGCATCTTCAACAAATGGTACTGGCACAACTGGATGTCAACCTGTAGAAGAATGAAAATAGACCCATATCTATCACCATGCACAAAACTCAAGTCCAAATGGCTTAAAGACCTCAATATCAGTCCGAACACACTGAACCTGACAGAAGAGAAAGTGGGAAGTACCCTACAAAAGATGGGCACAGGAGATCGCTTCCTATGTATAACCCCTGCAGCACAGACATTAAGGGTAACATTGAATAAATGGGACCTACTAAAACTGAGAAGCTTCTGTAAAGCAAAGGACACTGTCACTAAGACAAAAAGGCAACCTACTGACTGGGAGAAGATCTTCACCAACCCCGCAACAGACAAAGGTCTGATCTCCAAAATATATAGAGAACTCAAGAAACTAGACTTTAAAGGGCTAATTAACCCAATTAAAAAATTGGACACTGAACTGAACAGAGAATTCTCAACAGAAGAAGTTCAAATGGCCAAAAGACACTTAAAGTCATGCTCAACCTCCTTAGCGATCAGGGAAATGCAAATCAAAACAACTTTGAGATATCATCTTGCACCTGTCAGATTGGCTAAAATCAAAAACTCCAATGATAGCCTTTGCTGGAGAGGCTGTGGAGGAAGGGGTACCCTCATCCATTGCTGGTGGGAATGCAATCTTGTGCAACCACTTTGGAAAGCAGTGTGGCGGTTTCTCAGGAAATTCGGGATCAACCTACCCCTGGACCCAGCAATACCACTCTTGGAAATATACCCAAGAGATGCCCTATCATATGACAAGAGCATTTGTTCAACTATGTTCATAGCAGTATTATTTGTAATAGCCAGAACCTGGAAAAAACCTAGATGCCCTTCAATGGAAGAATGGATGAAGAATGTGTGGAATATATACACATTAGAGTACTACGCTGTGGAAAAAAAACAATGACTTCTCTAATTTTGCATGCAAATGGATGGAAATAGAAAACACTATACTGAGTGAGGTAACCCAGACCCAAAAAGATGAACATGGCATGTACTCACTCATAATTGGTTTCTAGCCATAAGTAAGGGTCACGGAGTCTACAATTGGTGAACCTAAAGAAGCTAAGTAAGAAGATGAACCCAAGGAAAAACATGTAGTTATCCTCTTGGCTATGGGAAGTAGACCAAATTGTCGGGCAGAAAATTGGGATCTTGGGGGTGGGGTGGGATGGGGGTAAGGGGAGAGGGGGAGAGAAAAGGGAGAAGGGGAGGATAGGGGGAACTTGGGGAAAAAGGATGATTGGGATAAAGGAAGGTTGGATAGGGGAGCACAAAAGCACAATTTTTAGTTAAGGGAGCCACCTTAGGGTTGGCAAGAGACTTGAACCTAGAGTGGCTCCCAGGAGCCCAAGGCGATGTCCCCAGTTAGTTCCTTGGGCAGCTGAGGATAGGGAACCTGAAATGACCCTATCCTATTGCAATACTGAAGAATATCTTGCATATCACCAAAGAACCTTCATCTGGTGATGGATGGAGATAGAGACAGAGACCCACACTGGAGCACTGGACTGAGCTCCCAAGGTCCCAATGAGGAGCAGAAGGAGGGAGAACATGAGCAAGGAAGTCAGGATCATGAGGGGTGCACCAACCCACTGAGACAGTGGGGCTGATCTATTGGGAGCTCACCAAGGCCAGCTGGACTGTGACTGAAAAAGCATGGGATAAAACCGGAATCTCTGAACATGGCGAACAATGAGCGCTGATGAGAAGCCAAGGACGATGGCACAGGGTTTTGATCCTACTTAATGTTCTGGCTTTGTGGGAGCCTAGCCAGTTTGAATGTTCACCTTCCTAGATATGGACGGAGGGGGGAGGACCTTGGACTTTCCACAGGGCAGGGAACCCTGACTGCTCTTTGGACTGGAGAGGGAGGGGGAGAGGAGTGGGGGGAGGGGGAGAAGGGTGGGAGGAGGGGGAGGGAAATGGGAGGCTGGGAGGAGGCGGAAACTTTTTTTTCCTTTTTTTAATAAAAAAAATAAAAAAAATACATGAATATCTATGCCACTACTAAATTAGTGCTTAGGGAAGATTTTAAACTATGACTGTCTGTTTAAAAACCAAGAAAAAGGGGCTGGAGTGATAGTTCAGCTGTTGCAAGCCCTTGCTGGTCTTGCGAAGGACCCAGTTTGGGTCCTGCAAGCCAAATTCAGGAGTCACATCCTTCTGCAACTCTAGCTTCAAGGTATATGATCCCTTCTGGGATCTTCAAAAACCAAATGCCCATGCTCATGCATAGAAAGACAAACACACACACACACAACACAACACACACACACAGACACACACACACACACAGACACACACATATTTAAAGAAAAATATCAGCTCAGCAACCTGGCCTTTTGTTTCAAGACACTGGGATAAAGGAATAAATAAACCTAAAACAAACAAGAATTATAATATGTTGGAGATTTGAGTGAAAATTAATAAAAAGATAAAATAGCAAAACAGTACATAAAATCGATTTATCCCGTTTCCAATTGTGGGAAACATTTTTTTGAGAACAAAAACATGTGTAGTGTGTCCTCCTGCAGCAAAGTTTTGCCTTTCAACTGAGTTACCCTCCTCTGCTGGGCTGCTTTTCTTCCTATGTTATCTTTCCCAGAAAGGGTCCTCTGTTTTCAGAGTTACCCCTCTCAAAGGAGTAACCCTCCTCTGCAGGGTAACTCTTTGCTGAGGCGACACCTCCTTGTGCGGTGATTTTTCCCAGGAGAGGGCCTTCTCTTTTCAGAGTTATGTTTTTCAGATGAATGACCCTCCTCTGCAGTGCAGGTTTGGATGGGGTGACCTCTCCATGCAGTGTGATCTTTCCTTGCAGAGGGTACCCTGCCATGGTACGCCTCTCAAAAGAGCAGCTCTCCTCTGCCGTGTACCTTTTTATGAAGCAAAGCCTCATTGAAAGGTGACATTTCATAGGAGAGGATACTCTATTTGCAGAATTACCCTTTTTAGACAAATGACTCTTTTCGGCATGGCAGCTTTTGATGGAGTGACCTTCACCAATAGAAGGTACTCAAACTGCTGAGGTACCCTTTCCAAATGAGCTTCCCTCCTCAGCAGGGAATCTGATCCTCTGAGGTTGACCTCTCCCTGTGGGGTGAACTTTTCCTGGAGAGGGTCCTTTCTTTGCCAGTTACACTTCTCAGATGATTGGTCCTCCTCTGCAGAGTGGCTTTTGATTGGACAACTTCTCCCTGCAGGGCGATCTTCACCTGCAGAGGTCTTCTCCCTGCCAAGTTACCCCTCTCAAATGAGTACCCCCTCTCTGCAGGGTCCCTATTTCTGAGGAGAAGCGTCTCTGCATGGTGACATTTTACAAGAGAGGGTCTTCTTTTGCAGAGTTACCCTCTTCAGATAAATGACACTCCTCTGCAGCATGACTTTTGATAGGGTGACCACTCCTTGCATGGCGATCTTCACCTGCAGCAGTTCCTTTCTACCCAGAATTACTGCATTCAAATGTGTAGCCCTCCTCTGCAGGGTACCTTTTTCTGAGGCAAAGCCTCGCTGTATGGTGACATTTCACAGGAGAGGACCCTCTCTCTGCAGAATTACCCTCCTCACAAGAATGACCCTTCTAGCAGCATGACTTTTGATAGGATGACCAGTCCTTGCATGGTGATATTCACCAGCAGATATTCCTGTCTCCTCTGAGTTACCCCACTCAAATGAGTAATCCTACTCTGCAGGGTAACTTTTTCTGAGGCGATGCCTTAAAGTCATCTCCTTCCCTAAAATGTTGGTCACGAACATGAGGACCTTTCTTTCAGGAACTCACTTAAATAAAACCAATGAATTGCATATTTTCTAGTATTATCTGGGCAAATGAACGGAGAACACACCCCAGAAGTCTGTTGTCTGAATTAGTTCCACTCCCAGGATCATATCTCTTGATTTTTTTTAACAAATTTAGTTCATTTATAAAGACTTTATAGGAGCTGCTCATTGCATGTCCAATAGCCAGCACTAAGTGCGGTTTGTCTGGAAACTATTTGTACACAAACATCATCTTGGGGATGGGCTTATGCTCTTTTGCCAATCGGTAGTCCTATGCAAATTATCCTATGTTCCATAGCCAAATGATTGGACCACTACTATGATGTCATTGTGGTGTCATGTGAGGTGAGGGAGGGGGCATTTTTTTTAAAGACCATGCAGTCCTTAAGCACACACAGATCCCCAAGCTAATGCTTCTCCAGTGCTAGCATTAAAGCCTGCATGCCTTGAACATCTCTCTTGATTAATATGTTCTCCTTCCTCTTACTCTTTCTATGCCTAAATCACTTGGTCCCTACTCTTCAATCCTGAGTTCAAGGGTGTGGAAGAGCTCTCAACTAAGGGAGCTGCAGCTCAGAAGCTGAAAAAGAAAAGGGTGTCATCTCCAGCCTATTGTCACTGCGGAAGAATAGGTTTCTTTTCAGTCTCCCCTTTTTCATTGTCTCCAAATTTGGTACAACTCTGAACATGGCAATGAGTTCATTTCCATTCACCCCGAGGATGTAAGAACAATAAATGAAGCTATTAATCCGTGTATCACAAAAAATAAGCACTTAGACTGAAAGTTTTAAAAAAACTGGGAAAAGATACAAGATATAAATTGTATGTCTAACAGGGAGGAAAGCAGAGAAAAACATGGAGCTCAATAAAAATATTACTGATACCATGCAATGTTAACTAGAGTGTGGGAAATTACTACATATTATTGGTGGGAATTTAAATACAAATAATCATTCTCTTGGATAATTTAGAACCATTATATCTAATTTTAAAATGCAAATGTACTTTGATACCAAATTTTGAGATGCTAAAATGCTTGCATAATTGTACATGGATGTTTATAGTTTAGAAGATTATAAATAACATTATAGTCCATCTGTAGTAGAAAGATAATAGAGACTAATATCTTTTGGCTGTGAAATATGCTGTATCACTGAAAATAAAATGTATTTCCATACAGAAATAATTTGCAAGCCTAAGAAAGCTAGAGTGGCAATTTAAGTATCTTACAAAATACACTTTAAACCAAAAACCTTAAAGGCTATATTACACTTATTATTGATCAAAGTGTTATTTGTAATAGGAAGCAATTACAGTTGCCTAAGATCAGAAAAAATAGATGAAGCAAAAAGCCACAGAGATACAATAGACAGTTCATAATACTACTTAGAGATTTCAATAACTATGTTCAGTAGCAGTTAGGACAGTAGAGAGAATTTAATAGTGAGATAAAAGACTTGAACAAGAGTAAGAAGCAAATAGTCTTAGAAGTACATCTAAACTACATTCCACTAAAGAGTAACAGCACAGACATTGTTCTCAGGACAATGTAGAACATTCTCCATGTTAGATCATACACTGGAAGAAGAAGAAAAAAAGAAATGTTTAGAATTAAGTACACACTTTGACCAAAGTGGAATGAAGTTTGAAATCGATAACAAGGAAATTTATGTAATTTAGAAAATTAGAATATGTTGAAACTCAATACTATGACAATGTGTAAAAGAAGAAACCAAAAAGAGAAATTAGAATTTATATTGAAAACACCAGAAATCATCATGAAGGCCTAAAACCCCAGGACTTTAACTGCTGAGGCGGGAGAATTGAGAGTTCAAATACAGAGAGAAGATGAGGGAAATGAAAGATGTAAATGAAGGCAAAATATGAGCACATCTATGCCATTACCAAACTAGTGCTTAGGGAAGATTTTAAACTAAGAGTGCCTGTTTAAAAACCAAGAAAAGAATGGGATGGTTGGGATAATGGAAGGATGGATACGGGAGCAGGGAAGTATATTTCTTAATTAAGGGAACCATTTTAGGGTTGGCAAGAGCCTTGACTCTAGAAGGGTTCCCAGGGGTCCAGAGAGATGTACCCAACTAGGTCCTTGGGCAGCTGAGGAGAGAGAGCCTGAAATGGTCCGACCCTATAGCCATACTAATGAATATCTTGCATATCACCATAGAACCTTCATCTGGCGATGTATGGAGATAGAGACAGAGACCCACACTGGAGCAATGGACTGAGCTCCCAAGGTCCAAATGAGGAACAGAAGGAGGGAGAACATGAGCAAGGAAGTCAAGACCGCGTGAGGGGGGCACCCACCCACTGAGACGGTTTGCTGATCTATTGGGAGCTCACCAAGGCCAGCTGGACTGGGACTGAAAATGCATGGGATAAAACTGGACTCTCTGAACATGGCGGACAATGAGGGCTGCTGAGAGGCCAAGGACAATGGCACTGAGTTTTGATCCTACTGCATGTACTGGCTTTGTGGGAGCCTAGTCTGTTTGGATGCTCACCTTCCTAGACCTGGATGGAGGTGGGAGGATCTTGGACTGCCCACAGGGCGGGGAACCCTGACTGCACTTTGGACTGGAGAGGGAGGGGAAGGGAAGTGGGACGTGGGGAGTAGGGGGAGGGGGACGGAAAAGGGAGGCGGGGAGGAGGCGGAAATTTTTAATAAAAAGAGTTTAATAATAAAAAAAAAGAAAAAAACTAGAAAAGGAGCTGGAGAGATGGTGCAGCACTTACAAGTCCTTGCTGTTCTTGCAAAGGACCCAATTTGGTTCCTGTATTCCAAATTCAAGGGTCATAACCATCTGCAACTCTATCTTTAAGGAATGTGGTCCCTTCTGGGATCTTCAAACAGCCATATGCACATGCTCATACATAGAAAGGCAAACACACACACACAGAGATAGACACAACACACACACACACAGAGACAGACACAAGACACACACACACACACACACACACATATTTAAAATATGATATCAGCTCTCAAGTATTTGTTAGTACGAGGTAGGAGTATTCACCGAAAGTATGCGGTCCTTGATTCAATCCCAACACTGAAAGTAGATGAAGACAATTTCAGAAATAAAGGAAAATTAACACTACATGCATGCTCTCATGCAATGCTCACTAGTGCCTCCACTTTGGGAAACTTTTGGTATTAGAATTTTATCAGTATAATAAATGTATAGCAATATCATGAGGCCCCTCTTCTGAAGATATATTGGCAGTTAATGGCTGCTGGGGAAAGGGAGCTGTTTATCTTCAGTAGTGTAACCACTGTTAAGTTGGTCATACTCCTGTAAATAATCCCACACCCACGACTATGCAAGCAACCCTAATTAAACTCAATAGGGCACTAATGACAGATATAAAAACGAAGATACAGTTGTTAGGAAGAAAGGGTTCGATGAGGATGAGAGGAGGATAAGAGAGGATAATACGGGATAAATATACTAAAAAATGTGAGAAATGACAGAAATGACTGGCTGCCAGGACAGTCACCCTATGTTCTTCTGCAATGTTGAGGCATCCATCTTTGGCCTACAGACCTACAATATTTGACAGACATTTCTGGGAAGCAGGATATTCTAAAGGGCTGTCCAACTTTGTCTTGAAAATGTTTAGTAGACACTTTTTTTGTTATGTCCTGCTTGCTTGTTCAATTAGGGCAGCATAGTGTCAGCACTAAAAACAAGGACAGTTTATTTCCCAGTGTCTTACTTTTGCCACAAAGAAAGTAAATTCATGTGGAATTTCCTTGATGCTCATCATCTTCTCTAAAGTAGAGTGCTCCTGTGAGGAGCAGATGTGTCTCATTGTCATAAAGAAAAGAGCCAATTACTCTAAACAATGACAAATATCCATAACCCAATGAAAGAAACAAACTACCCACCCCACCTCTTGGGAATGTGAGCATTGCTTTCTTAAATTTATTCCTGCTGTCTGGAGGCAACAGAATCTTTAGGGCATCCTGAAAAGAAAAGTTTGGGTTAATTGGCAAGTCCTGGGAGAGGTAGCAGTATCATTTGTTTCCTC